AAAAACTACACAAACTTGTAAAAAACTACACATATTTTTAACAAAAAACTACACAAACTTGTAAAAAACTACACATATTTTTAACAAAAAACTACTCAAATTTTATATAAAAAAAACTGCACAAACTTTGTATAAGAAACTGAACAAAATTATATAAAAAACTACACATATTTTTAACATAAAACTACACAAATTACATAAAAAAACTGTACATATTTTTTTACAAAAAACTACACAAAAAATATTAAAAAAAAGCACAAATTCGTAACTTATGACTTACCTTAATAAAGGAACTAGTTAATCCCGCCGGATACCCGACAGGTAACGGTTCCGAAAAATTGAGAACCGGAACCGGAATCTTTCTCAATCGTTTTAGTAACCGGAACCACTCATATCGGTTCCGGAATCCGATGGTTCGAAGGTAGTTTCGGTTTCGCAAGTGGGTACCCGGTTTTGCTGTTAACCCCTAGATTTCATCATCCATGAGCAAGAAATCATATCGAAATTAGTCCATTCAATCTAGTTTTCCCTTGTATCCAGGCAATGTCTTCAATCACGTGTTTATTTCCCCATATTCATCTTCTTTTTTTGCATTGTAATTTTCATGTGTGTGTTTTTATGTGTTGGTAGGTTGATAAAGTCAAGGGTTTTAACATTGGAATCTCAAAACAACCCAACAAATATGGGTTTACTTCTCGACTTTGACTAAATCCAAAATCTAGAACAATCCTGAATCTATCTTGAAAGAGGGGGTATCGATGTTGGCCGAAGATGGAGAGGGGTATGTCGGGGGAGAAGATATATCAAGAGAGAGGGAAGAAAGGAAGAGAAAAGACAGAGTGAGGAACGAGATCGATATTATATAATGGTGAAAAGGGAAGGTGATATTAGTGGCTGAAGGTGTTGCAGATCGACTCAAGGTGGTAACGAAGATCGACTAAAGGTTGGACGTGTTGCGACGATGGAGATAGGCTGAAGGCGTAGCAAATGGGAGATTTGATGGAAGTGTTTACAGAAGACGTATGGGAGAAGGAGTTTGCTCTTCGATCTCCCCGTGAGTTGGACGGGAAGTGACATAGGGGGTTATCTATGAAGCATTTGAATTGCCCCTTTCWTTTGGAATAGTTGAAAGTCCTCTTCTTAGGGGATTTTCTTTTTTCTTATCAACATAGAGTTGGAACTTAGCCGATGGACGAGTGGACCAGTATGAAGCTTTAGTTTCGTTGCCGRCCAGAGCTCCTAGCCGACGACCGGCTACCCCTTTCGAGCTCAGCTGACCCCTTCTTGATTCCGTTTTTTCCCTATTTGAGATAGATGAATTAATGGAACTTTGATCCCCAGTTCCTGCTTGGTCTAATGTCTAGGTGCGTATGGCAGTACACTGTACACTGAGAGCACCTTTCAAGTCGGCTGAAAAAGAAAGAAAAAAGGCTTTCGTCGTCTTTTTCCCGCTTTGTCTATATACAGTAAGGTGATGTTTGATTCGCAAAATCTTTTTGGTTGAAATAAATCTGTTGAATGAATTAGAATGAAATGTTGTCAGGTTTCATTACCTCTTTGGTTGACAGACATTGAAATGAAATCTGTTAAGGAATTGAAATCTGTTTGTTTGGTTCACATAATATATCTTTGAGATTGAAATGAAATATTGGTAAATGACCAAAATGCCATTTTTTGGAAATTTTATTTTAAAAAATATATAAAAATACTCTAATAAAATAATTATTTAATATGTAAAACAATATAAAATACACAACCAAAATATAACCTAAACCAAACGATGTTACTAAATCGACGGTGGTCCGTAGTGGTTCAGGTGACGATAGTCGGCAATGGTTCAAATTGATGATTGTCCGCGGTGGTTCAGGTGATGGTGGTCAACAATGGTTCAGATCGATGGTGGTCTGCGGTAATTCAGATGGAGGCGGTTAGCGGTGGTTTAAATCGGTTGTGGCCGACGATGGTTCAAATTGGTGGTGGTGGCAGTGGTTCAGGTCGGTCCTGGTGCATGATGGTCCAAATTACGGTGGTCAGAAGTGGTTCATATCGGTGGTGGTCTGTGGTGGTTCAGATGACGTTGGTCTTCAGATCGATAGTGGTTTAAATCGCGATGGTTCATATCAAGGGTGGTTCAGATCGGCGATGGTGGCGGTGGTTCAGATCGGTGGTTGTTCTAATCGTTGGTGGTCAATGGTGGCCGACGATGATTCAGATCGGTGGTAGTCTTCGATGGTCGGCAGTGGTTCAGATCGGTGTTGGTCTATGGTAGTTCAGATGGTGGTGGTCGGAGGTGGTTCAGATCGGCGGTGGTTCAGATGGGGAGTGGTTGGAATCGGCAATGAATCAGATCGGTGGTTGTTGAGATCGGTGATGGTCGACGATAGTTCAGATCGACGTAGCCGCCGGTGATTCAGATCGGTAATAGTTGGCGGTGGTTCAGATCGGTGGTGGTCCGTGGTGGTTCAGATAACAATGGTCGACAGTGGTTCAGATAAGTGGTGGTCCACGATGGTTCAGATGGCGGTGGTTCAGATCGATGGTAGATCAAATCGGTGGTGGTTTAGATCCGCGGTGGCCGACGGTTGTTCAGATCGGTAGTGATCAGCGGTAGTTCAGATCGGTGGTAGTCGACGGTGGTTCAGATCGGTGGTGGTCGGCGGTGGTTCAGATGACAATGGTCGACTTCAAATGATGATGGTTGGCGGTGATTCAGATCGACGGTGGTAAGAGGTGGTCGACGATGGTCATATTGGATTTTATGAGATTAAGATATACTAGGTTAAACGCATATTTATTATTATGAAAATAGATATCAAAATACCATGTGGTTGATAAGGAATATTAAATTTTTATTTATAAAATTTGTAGGATTTTAAAGATTACCAAAGAATGAAACAAACGGTATATAATTAATTCAACTTTCTAGTTCCATTGCAACAAACGACGGAATATAATTAATTCAACTTTCTAATTCCATTGTATTCTTTTAAGAATCCGAAGCCAAACTCCGCTTAAAAATCATTATAGTAGAACGCTATTCTCAATTATTGTTGCAATGGTCTTAATACGAAATCTTTTATAGCAGGCAGGAGGTTTGAGTCGAAAAGATTTTGGGAACAACTCAAGTTAGGTTTTTTTTTTCAAAAAAAAAAAAAAATTCATTGCCAAATTGGTTTCTGTTATCTCCCGGCGACGAAGATTGGAAGGCACCTATCCCAATTTTGAATTTTCATAATTCTTTGTTCGATTGATAGTGGTGGTGAGTATTTGGTTTACGATCTTGTTATATTTTCATCAAATTGTGACTTGAATCAACTTATTTCGAGTAGTGTCGTTCACATTTGAATTCCATGATTTACGGTTTTACTTCCTTTCTAAGTTTCATTTTTGTAGTATATTTAATGATGATGCTCCATTGATTCTACTAAAGTTGAATGTTTCTGCTGTGGTCTCACTCTAGTAGAACCAGTTTCTATAGGGGATCGGATAATTTGCTCATGCGTTAGATTTTTAGTTGAAATGTTTGATGGAACTGTTAACTGACGATGAATTATACGATTTTCTGTCGAATCGTTAGAGCGTTTACTTACCTTCAGGTGACCATTTATTTTTGAAAATATTGGTATACTGTAGTTTGGCTTGATCTTCCTACTTCCATTTGTGGTTTTATTTGGTACCATATCAAGATGTATGTGGATCTGGATGCTTTACGATCAGTTGATAATATGGATACATTTCACAAAACTTATAGCAATAATTGCAGCTAAAGAAATTATTTTGGGTGACTTATTGAGTTCTGTATACCAGCATAAAATTTTAGATGGTTGTCTCAATGATAAAGCACAAGGGAAGATAGTTGTCAATCTCCATGCCCCTTTTATACATTATATAAAACATTGGATTATCTAATGTTTTTTTTTCATAATGATTGTATTTGGTATTTTGTTGCTGAATTGGAAATGCAATGCTTGATTTTTAGAGTTGAAACTTATCTATGATGTTGCATGTTGGTGTAAACGTGTTATATTTGAATTGTGTAACACTCTGTGTGTGTGAGTGTATATATATATATATTTTGATAAGATGCTCCTCGCATTCCTGAAGCCTGTGCCTCACGCCTGCTCCTAGGCCCCATGACCTCTTTGCGCCTAAGTTTTCCTTGAGCCCTTAACAACTTTGCACGCATAGTCCAATTATTCCTGGTCTGCTTAGTATCTTATAAGTTAATTCAATGTTCTTAGTGTTTCTATTTGATATTTACTGCCGAATTCATAAATAACGAGTATGAGCTCATGTCAGTATCAATTTATAATGTTGAACCTATAGATAGTGCTGCATGCCAGGAATAGGTGGCAATTACATGCTAACTACTCAAAAGTCATTGTGAAGAAGGCTACTTGGATGTATTAGTTTCACAAGATATTCATCTTCAAAGGAAACTAACTAGTGTTTTATTTGTCTATTGTCTTGGTTTTTGCTGGTTCTCAAATATTTATCAGGTTTGTTGAAATTGTTGCAAAAATATTACCATTTCCTGCCTTGAAGTTGTTTTTTCCTGACATTGCGCATATATAGAATGCAAGTCACTATTACTCGAATAATTTTGTTCACGCTTTCTGTATGTTTGATGTTCTGCATTTGGCATTGCAAGTTGGTTAAATCTGCACGAACTGGACTTACATTCTGCGTTTTTTGCACAAATTAGAATTAAATTCTGTGTTTTAAGTGAACGTTTTGCACTCACCTGGAGTGCTCTGTTAGGCCGTCCAGCAATCTTTTTGCGCAGTTTTCTGCCTTTTTAAACCTACATAACACAGGCTATAATGTTTAAGCCAACCATGTAGAATAGGTTGCCAAGTATGTAGCATCACCTCTATCTACCACCTCCAGAGCTGAAATTATCTTATCTTGAGCTTAGATATATGATATCATATATCTCATTTTTGACTTTTTGTACCCCATGGTATTTGTTGAAACATCTTGATATTGAAATACTAGGAGTGAAAGACTATATTAGAAGCAATCGCAATGACATGCGTCTATCTAAACATGTTTTGACATGTTGTCAGACTGTTTCTAGACTGACCTAGCTGCTGTCCAACATCTTTGTTTTGCTTATGATTTTCGTGGTTTCAAATTGAAATATCTGTTCTATAATAAATTGCAACTTGATACTGTCATTGTTGCAACTTTCCTTCAACTTATAAAAGAATTGCAAAATTAAAGCATGGAAGTGACTGTTTACGTACTTCACCGAAGCACATCTATATCTTTGGGACCATGCCCACTACCAACCTAATCCACTATTTTCAATGAAGTTACAAGCTAAATTGACTTAATACTTTAGATACAAGAATCCTCCTTATAAAGATGACTACTTTCTTAACCTTTTACTCTTAAGATGATTTGCACATATCCTATCATACGTAAAGTAGACCTCCCCTCTGTTTATAACCACAAGACTTTCTCCCAATTGTTTGACTTCTCTCTAAGCTGGTCTTCTTCACGGTTGATGTCACACTTTGTGTTACAACTTGAGGTTGTATAAAACCAAAACTGAAACTATCTACTATTGTGCTAAACTGATTGATTGATCGCTCAATTCGTGTATCTTCAAATGGTTGATCTCTTCATCTATTTATACTTGACATTGATATTATCCTTCTTCAGATATGCAAACATTTCTTGGAATATTCATTGACTTAATATTTATCCGTTGCTTGGCTTAAAGGAGTTTGTGAGTAACTCAAACTCGAAATTATACTTGATCATTTATATAAATTGTAAATTTGTGTTGATGTCAAATTCTGAATCAATTTGTTTGGTACAAAGACAATTTATTGTGGACTGCTTTTTGAGGTATCATCTATATGTAAGATTTTTTTTTGAAAATGAACTAGATAGCTCTAAGTTTCCTGCCAAAAGGAAACCATGTGATGCATAATGTGTTAGCTAAATTCTAAAATAATAGGTTAAGCAATTGTTTTTATACCTCATCAACATTGGGTCTTGTCCGACTCTCAGAATCAGAATGGCCCCAGCAAAAAAGGGCAAAGCTAAAGCCAAGTCAATGGAGGTAACATCTTCAGCACCTGCTGCTACCAAGTTCCCTGCATGTATGCGCTTCATTCCTCCATCATCTGTTGCTGTCACCATTCATGCCAAGCCTGGTTCAAAAGTTGCCACCATCACAGGTCTTTTATTAATTTGTTATTTTTATATATTTCTAACAAACTGTTATTCTTTTTCTCTGCTACTAATATTTCTCTCCAAGGTCTCCTAAGTATATTCCAAATTTAGGTTTCGACGATGATGCTTTAGGAGTACAAATTGATGCACCAGCAAAGGATGGTGAAGCTAATGCTGCACTCCTCGATTACATAAGCTCGGTGAGTCCTTTGCCACAACTCTGCAGTTAAGATATTGCAGAAATATTATATCTTGTGCAAGTGCTTGTTTGTTATAAAAGAGTAAGCTAAGCCATAAACTTGTTATGGAACTTCTTGAATTTGATGAGCCGAGAAAGTTGCTGCAGCTAATGTTGTTTCACGACTATCAACAAATGAACTTTTAAATTTATAAGCTCAATTTTACGTTGTAGTTTACTTGTGAACTTCAAATGATTGTTCTGGTGATTCAAATTGAAAAAGAATATTATCTTGTGTTTCATTTTGTTTTTAGGTGTTAGCTTGTTACAATTCTGATGTGGAGCTTGTTTCTGGTTGACCTTTGGTTTTAGATGTGCTCTTGAACTTCTTAGGCATCATTTGGCAAAAATAAGCTACCTTATTTTCTGGGTACACCTTGGAGTAGCGTTTTGATAGCTTATCGTCACTTTTGCCAATTATAACCCTCATTAATATTAATTATTATTTATTAGTATTAATTCTAAATAAATATTAATAAAATTTAAGTATTTCTAATATCAATAAATATTAATTAATATAAATTGAAATTAATTATTAATTATTTTTAATTATACATTAATATTATTTGTTAATTATTTACAATAATTATTAATCATATCAATTATGTTCATATTATTATTTAATATATTTAGTTATCAAAATGTAAATATAACGATTTTAATAATGTTTATGTAACATAAAAATTAAAGTTATTACTTATTTTGTTTCATAGATAAGAAAAAAGTGTTAAATAATTTGAATAAAGTATTTAATTTAATTATTAAATATATTTTTTGAAAAGTTATTAATTAATTAGGATATGTGAGGTAGACCATTTTTATTTTTATTCATATCATATGTAATGGTTATTTAAAATCATAAATAATAGATTTTTTCTAAAGTTTGTTTTAACAAATCCAAATTTTATAATAGTATAATGATTAATTTGAAATTTTTTTAATCAATATATCATATTTTTTAATTTTTTTACCATGTTGTTTGTATTAGTTAATATATTATTAGAGATTTGTTTCAATTATATTTTAAAATATTATAAATGATTAATTTTTCAATATGTTCTTTTTGGTCATTTTACATTCATATCAACTAGTTTTTGCCGAACATGATTTGTTCATCAGTTAACTTATCAACTACCAGGCTTATAAGCTAGCTGGCTTATAAGCTAACAACTTGCCTATCAGCCATCAGCTAGTTTATCAGCTAGCTTGTCAAACATAGCCTTAAGATTTTGGTGCTCCAATTTGTTTTTCATATTTTTGATGTGTATATTTTTGGATTGCAAGAACTAAACTTTAAAGACATGTTTTGCAACAAAAGGACTTCATAGTCTTGACTGGGCGAAGTTTATTAGAGTTGTTATAATTTCAGTTAGTTTGTTATCTTAGTTGGTATTTTAGTTAGACTAATTTTGTACACGTATATTGTGTTTTAGTGTATGTATATATTGAGTTGTTACTTCTAAATAACATATACAGAAATTCCCCAATCTCTCTCTACTTTCTCTCTTCTTCCAATTTCTCTCTACTCTCATTCTATCATGGTACCAGAGCGATCGATTTCCCTTCTGAAATTTCGCAATTTTTTGTGATCCAGATTTCATTTCCTTTCTTTCTTTCTTCTTTGATTTGTTTCTCATCGAGAAGATGGCAAAACAGAACAATAACGTGAACAAGAACATGAATGCATCTGCGTATTCAAATCCACTATTTATGAGTCAAAACGACAATCCAGGTACGATTCTTGTCACAAAGATCTTCGATGGCAAGAGTTTTGGGGCTTGGAAGCGTGCGATGTCTCTGGCACTGTCTATCAAAAACAAATTAGGTTTTGTGATCGGTAGAACAAAGAAATCTGCGGAAGATGATCCTACTTATGATGATTGGAAGAGGTGAAATTCCATTGTTATTACTTGGATTCTCCATGCAATGTCTAAAGAAATTTATGAAGGATTGATCTATTATATGACTGCAAGTGCAATCTGGAAACCATTGATCACATGTTTGAATAGTCAAATTTGGTCGTCGTTTTTCAGCTACAGAAAGAATTGAATCAAATAGCTCAAGGAACTAATTCAATTACTACATATCACTCCAGATTTAAACGAATTTGGGATGAGTTTGTTGCAGTTGATGATATACCTGATTGCACATGTACTGTAGGAGAAGCTTGGATAAAGCGAATGGAAAGGCAACAATTGGTGCAATTTCTTTTTGGATTGAATGATAGTTACGTTCAAGTTAGAGGCAATATTCTTCATGAAAATCCTACACCTACTATGGCTGATGCTTATGCAACGTTGATTCAAGAGGAACAACAAAGAGAAGTAATTGCTCCTGTAAAATTGAATACTGAAAGTATGGCGATGTTAGCAAATAAAAATAATTCTACATGAGGAAAGATGTTCATGAACGTTGAGACGAAGAGAAATCTTATTTGTAGCTAATGTAAAAAGAAAGAGCATGTTAAAGAAGAATGTTACAAGTTGCATGGTTTTCCAGAGAATTTCAAGTTTAACAATCCAAGAAGATGATACGTCTCAGCCCGACCAACACTGGGGTCGGATATATCAGCTTCRCAAAAGAGAGGCAGGAAACAAGTAGAGGGGGGCTGTTTGCAATTTACTTATTCTTAATTATCTTAATTAGTTGATTAGGATAGATATTAATTAGTTTATTAGGATAAATATGTTTTCCTATTTTTTAGGATTAGGGTACGGCTTTATTTAAGGGACCGGCCACCCCATTGTTTGCATTCATTCTAGTATTTTGATTCTTGTCGTAGACATTGGAGATTACTGGGTCTGGAATTCCAGGGTTTATTTTAATAAGCATCCGATTAGTGGTACTTTTGGCCGCTAATCTTGATTTTGCCAATTGATACATATCAAATTGGTATCAGAGCATCGATCTTGCGCTTGTGATTTTATCCACGCTACCATGACCAAGATTCAGGATCTTGAAGCTGAGTTGAGCCAACAGAAGGCTGCCGTCGAACAGTTCCGCGCTGAGACGACGGAGCGGTTCGAAAACTTGGAGACCACCGTGGAATCATTGCGCACTGAAATGGAGAAGCGACATGCGGAGATGATGAAGGTCATGTTGCAACAGTTCCAGGCGTTAAAGCCGCCACCACCGCCGACAGCAGCCGTGCCATCGCCTATCTTCACCGATTGCACCACACGGCCCATAATGCAGCAATGGAATCCGATTTTTGATGAGAATGGGGCGCCCCTGCCGCCTTGGCATGCAACCAGCAGTACGGCCAGGGAACTGAATAGGCCCATCGGCACTCAGGAAATTCCTTTTCCGGAGTCAGGTACGTTTGCTTTTTCTGAGACTGAAAGGCCGTTTGGCAACGGGTATGGAAGGGGCTCAGGACCTTCGGGGGAACGGGGGTGGGTGCCGGGGGCGGACTACCGTCTTCGTAAGCTGAAGATGCCATTGTTCGATGGAACTGATGCATATGGGTGGGTGTACCTCGTGGAAAGATTTTTCGACGTTCAGGGATTTGTTACTAGGGGGGAGAAGTTGAAAGCAGCGGTGTTGGGGTTGGAGGGACATGCCCTTGCATGGTACCGATGGAGTGATGATAGGCATCCTTTTCGTAACTGGGAAGGATTAAAAAACCGGTTGTTGGCTCGGTTCCAGTCATATCAGGAAGGGGACCTATACGAACAATTTTTGGCAATTAAACAGGAAGGGTCAGCACGCGAGTATATAGGGAAATTTGAAATAGTATCGGCACAGCTAAGGGGTATTCCTGAGAAGATTATGTAGGGTACATTCCTAAAAGGTTTGAAACCGGAGCTACGAACTTCCATGAGGTTGCTTCAACCAATGGACTTAGACCAGGCGATCCAACTAGCTCTGATGGTGGATGAAAATAAAACTATCAGCAACGGGAACGTGGAAAAAGGGGAAAACAAAAGTCAGCTAGTGCAGACCGGAGTGGGGGGCTCACGGCCGCTGGCCGCCCCACCAACGGGAACCCAACGACCGACAACAGGGGGTAACGAGCAGCCGTTTAAACGGATGACAGACTTGGAACTGGTGGATAAACGGGCTAAGGGCTTATGTTTTCGATGCAATGGGAAGTTCACACCCGGACACCGTTGCCCCGAGAAATCCTTGCAGATCATGTTAATGGATGATGAAGATGACGAGGGGGAAGAGGTAACACCGGAAACTCAGCGCGCTTGGATGCGCTGGAGGTGTCAGTACACTCAGGTGGTGGAGCAGTTCCCTGGCTTTCACCTTGAGGACAAGGTGAATTTTCGAGGCGGGGGTAATGATACGTCTCAGCCCGACCCGCACTGGGGTCGGATATATCAGCTTCGCAAAAGAGAGGCAGGAAACAAGTAGAGGGGGGCTGTTTGCAATTTACTTATTCTTAATTATCTTAATTAGTTGATTAGGATAGATATTAATTAGTTTATTAGGATAAATATGTTTTCCTATTTTTTAGGATTAGGGTACGGCTTTATTTAAGGGACCGGCCACCCCATTGTTTGCATTCATTCTAGTATTTTGATTCTTGTCGTAGACATTGGAGATTACTGGGTCTCGAATTCCAGGGTTTATTTTAATAAGCATCCGATTAGTGGTACTTTTGGCCGCTAATCTTGATTTTGCCAATTGATACATATCAGAAGATCTTCCTCATCTACAAATAATGTTGAAGGAACTGTTGAAATAACTAGTCATGATTATCAACAAATCATGAACTTCATTAACAATTGCAAAATCATAGAATCTAGTCTACCTAATTTTGGACAAAATAACTCAAGCAGTTCGTGTGATCCTGTTACACAGTAAACGAAGGAAGTGGTTTTGCAGCATGTGCAGGTAAAACTTTGACTATTCCTATTTCTAGTTTTTGGATTATTGATTCTGGAGCGTCTGATCATATGTGCAGTCAAATTTTCTATGTTTTCCTCTCTTACAAAACTTCCTAAACCACAC